TTTGTATGGGGAACGGGATACTGTTGTGCCATAGGCTACCTCGGGAGATGCCTAGCTACTAAAATAGCATATACATCAATTGCTATGCTGATCCGAGATGCTTCTGCCGGCAGTAACGGAGAACGAAACCACTGCAGAAGAGATCAGAGGTCTGGTCTTGCACGGTTATTTGCGTGCTGTGATATAAGAAGTACTCTTTCGAATTGAAGTACTCACGGTGAACCATGCCATTATAATTTTATAAAGTTTGAAATGTGCCATCGGTATCTCAATGATATGTAGGACCCACATAAATCAATGACATATGAGTCAGGATGTCATATCTTAAATTTTGTAAAATTATAATGGCATGATTCCAATTTTTCCTTGAGTATATGCATATCATATGCCCTAAAAGCTGGTTAGATTCTTTCGAAGTTGTATCCTAATCTGATCCGGTTTCTTAGTGTTCTGAACTAGTACTGTCATCTAGCTGCCTCCTCGATCTGTTTATCATCTGGTTGCATCCCAAAAGACATTCTTAAGGGGTATCTTTCTCGGCACAAGTTACTTGGTAGTATAGTTGGTACTACAGGCACAAAGAATATCAGCAAAATATGGCGGCCATCAGCTTACAATGTGCTTTGTTCTATAGAGAAGGGTGTCTAGCAGAGAGCATTCACATGGTGAGTATAGTAAAAAAAAAAAAGAACTGAATTACGACGACGACTGTAGCTGCCTGTCTACGACCACAAGAATATTCAAGGCTACGCGACGCAGAGGGTGTCCTTGGAGTTGCCACACCCCCACGTTTCGATTTGTGCGTGAACATGATTTCTGCATGATGCAGTTGGATTCTTGCAAACTGTGCTTGTTTTGTAAGCACACTTGGGGCTGTGTTTGCAAGAGCAAGTTCCCAACACTTCCATCTCGTTTTTCACACGCACGTTTTTTAAACTGGTAAACGGTGTATTTCTAAAAGAAGTTTCTATACGAAAGTTATTTAAAAATTCATATTGATTAATTTTTGAAAAAAATAGCTAATATTTAATTAATCACATGCTAATAGATTACTCCATTTTCCGTAAATACTGTGCACGTTCCCATCCCTAGTGCCCGAACACAGCCTTGGTATGGTAGGATTTGGATCCGCTGTAGTCGGTAGTGTAACTGTAACTTATGCAGTCCAGTACCGACTATTAGATTCGGATCTACTTCGTAATGGTTAAACGTGTCCGGATACTGTAGCTCACGGCACTAAAATTGTTTATTACTTTTACATATAGTATTATAGCTAATTCATTAATAAAATAGATGGCTCGAAACTTGTAATCTCGATAGAAACTGCATGAGATTCCAATTCGGTATGGTAAGTGGTCACTATTCAAATATGCTGCTGTAGGAGCAGTTTCTAATGTATGTAAGACACCGGGTGGTGTCCATATATAATCTCCACTAGGGTTGGCAATGGGGCGGATTGGGCTAGAATGCCCCAGCCACCACTGATCGATCACCGACTGTCTCCCACCAGCCCCCGCACCCGCAAGAGGTGGTTGGGTGGAAAACGGTCACCCACCCCCTGTCACCGCATGGGGACCCGACAGGGTGAGCGGGCCCCACGCAATACCCGACTGGGCACGGTGGACGGCGAGCTAACGACGGAGACGAGGCAGGTGAGCTGGACGATGGAGAAGAGGGCGGCAAGCTGGAAGGCAAAGAGGCGAGCCGCCGTGCCCCGCGCCGTGGCCGCCGCCCGCAGGATGGCTGTCAATGCCGCCTGCACGTGCCCTGCCTGATCCCGCCCCCCGTGCCTGGCCATCGACGTCGCAGACGCCGCGCGCGCCTTGGCTGCCGTCGCCGCCGCCACTGCCGCCGCGCGCCTTGGCCGCCGCCACCGACGCTGTTGCCCACTGGTGGAGTCGTGGAGATGGTGGCTGCCTGGGTGGGTGGGGAGAGATTGAGAATAGGGTGGGGAGGGGTGGGGAAATTAGGGTTTGGATGTATATATATGATAGACTAGATGGGCCTTTTGGGCTTACAACATACTATGATTAAGTCTAATATACATCCTCGGGGCTCCGCGGGTCACCCGCGGGTGAAACATCTCCCCCGTCCCCTCCTCGCTCAAATGCGGGGCCCCAACCCTGACTCACCCGCGGGGTCTGAAATCGCCCCTGCCCCCGCCACCGCAGGGGACCCGGCCCCGCAGGGGAAATTGCCATCCCTAATCTTATCGATATTTACACTACTACTTAGACCTTTGCTCTCGTAATATACAATATTTAAGAATGATCTAAATAATTTAATGTCACTCATGTATTTCTCTTTCAAATAACTATCTCTTTTCAATTAATGCTCGGATTCTATGTCCATATATATAGTATATATCTACTATAGTATATAGAAGTATTTTTGTTAAATAATCAACTAAATATATTTTTAAATTTATAGCTATTATACTTGACTAGAAAAAATGCACGTGCGTTGCAATAGGTAAAGATGTTTTTTCAGTGATACAGCAGCTATTAGGAGTTGGGCAAATTGAAATATAGTATCGATATACATTATAATTGAAAAAGTTACTAAATATTCTTCCTTGGTTTTGAGCGAAAACCCATTCATTCTTTCCTTTTCAGCCCCAACCCAGTCCACTACCTCCCTCCACTCGGTCTGCATATCTTCGGGCCAGCACACGAGTGGAACCGCATTCCCAGCTCGCACAACCAACTACCGTATTCAACCCATGGAAGATAGACCCGTGCCCGTATGAAACCCGAGCTGATCCCACATCAAATTCGGTTGAATCTTTCTCGATCTCCCAAAATTAGTTGAGGGATTTTGATCACACGATATCCTCTTTTCTTTTTTTTTTCAAAATTGAAGCGAATCTGCAAAACTCAAGACAACAATGGTTGGGGAAGCTCCCCGGCCAGCCATCATTGGCGAAGGTTAAATGGAGATTAAATTTGGGGCCGAATTAATAGAGGACATCATGAGAAAAATGATAAGGAGCGGGAATTCGATTTTTTAATTAATTGGAGGATGAAACACACGAGAGATAGATTGAAGCAACAACGATATACTAGGGCTCGGCCCGGCGATGGCTGGAGGTGCGCTGCACGCAAGTGCCGTGGATATAGGATCGGACGAGATAAAAAAACGGCAACAGAAAAAAGACCAGACAATCAAAAACCGAATGCCTTACCGTGTGCGCACCAAAAATTAAGAACCCTTCCATGTGTGTAAAGGATTATTGATAAAAAAAAAGGCGATGAAAAAAATGAATGGACTACGATAAATGAAAAGCCTTATACTATTTTCTATTAAATATAAATATAGATACAGATATAAATTAATTATGCACGAATTATTCGTCCTTTTTCCGAACCGCCAGCCGCTATAAGCTCAGCCTAAGAAACATTAATTAAATATCCGGCTTCTACTACATCCGTCCAAAAGGCTTCGATATAATCATTTTCCTTTTTAACATTGCACTATAGAAAGAGCTTGCCAGATTAAAATTGCTCCAGAGCTTATGCGCGGGGCTGGGGTCCACCGGACAGCGTCCCTCAAACCCGAAAGTACACTGGTACCGTGGTACGCATAGCTGGTGTGTGGCCCTTGTCTCCTACTCTCCTTACCATCCTCATTCTGTGCCCACTGTTAATCCATGTGGCTAGGTACGTGCACCCTACATCAATTCTTCTTCACGTACGCATGTGATTGTGTGGCACCATCACATAAGCAACTGCCACAGAGCTCAGTACTATCTTAACACTTGACAGCCACTGAAAATATATCACTTCCAGCAAACGGCGCTGCTGAATTAGTCGTAGCATTATGAATACTCCCTCTAGTAAAGTAATTGTCATCTCAGACAATTGCATGGTTAAATTAACTTTGACCACTATTTTCTATTATAGTATATATAAATATTAATAAATGCACAATTTTATTAAAGTACATTTTAAGATTAATCTATATAAATTGTCTTTCATGTTTCCAATTAATGTAAATACTTTAGAACTTATCTATAGTCAATTTTTTAAAGTTTGACATAGATCTTATCCAAAACAATAATTATTTTTAATCTGGAGAGAGTAGATCATTTGCAGATAAAAACCGATAGTTTATATATTTGATTAAAAAATTAATATGATGTGTTATAAAGCTAAGAAATAGTTTGAAACAAGTAACCAGCTCAGCGATAAGATAGAAGAGGTTTTATTTTAAAATGATATTTTTGAAAACGTGATGTAAATAATTCATCACAATAATCGGATGATAAACTGAAGCATGGAGCCTACTGCTAGATGGAGCCATGGAGAAGCCAGGTGAATTATCAGGAGAGAGAGATAGAGGAGCCATGGCTGTGAAAGAAACTCGGCGACCCGACCCGACCCGACCGCCATGTTCGGTCATTCCCAATCAGAGACGACCCCTCATCACAAGATGCTGCCGTGTGGGGCCCCCCTCTCTCATGCCTCAGCTCGGCCGCAGCATCAGCATCCCCCCCCCCCCCCCCCCTGCCGCGGTGACTTTCGCTTGGCATACCATACCAAGAACCGGACATCACCACACAAACTCGGGAGTGGATTCTTATCTCTCGAGTGAATATCCCCTCGTATACATTTTTCTTTTAAATTCGATGTAAATAGTTGTGAAAAAATCTAAAAAAAATTGACAATGTAGAGTATAATGATACCTACCAGTCCACCAAAATTCATGTTCAAATTCGATCTACACATCGAGAAACAAAAAAGACAAATTTAGATATAAACAGTACGCTACTATTCATACGCTGAATTTGTCTTTTTTATATCTCGACGTGTGAGTTGAGTTTGAACTTAAGATTTTGTGAAGTTGTATATATGTGCTGTATGAATGTTGTCAAATTTTTCCAGAATTTTTCATAACCATTTAGATGGTTTTTGAGCAAACGAGGGAACATCCCCTCGAGGGATTAGAATAGTTTCCCCACAAACTCATATCTCAAACAAAGCTAAGAAAAAAGAAAAAAAATCACAGCAGAGGCCAGAGAGAGATGTGTCGCTGATGAAAGATAAGTGAGTGAGTGAGACCACACCTCTTTCGTCTCCTCCACTCTCCTTTCCGCGGCTTCCCACCCCCAGTCTCTCCCTCACTTTTTCAGCCGAAGCAGCAGCAGCAGAAGCAGAAGCATTGTCGATCCACCACCCATCTCTCCTCACGTGGAGAGAGAGCTTCGCTGGTCGCTGCTAGCTAGCTCCCCGCGCGCGAAGATTTCACCGCGACGACGCCCAAAGAAAGCGAGCTTTTGGTGCCAATCTCTTGGAGCATTGCGTGGTGCGCACTGCGCAGCAGGAGGGATCGATATATCCACGGTCTATCGGCCCCCCCCCCCCCCCCCCCCCAAATCCTGCCTGCAACTGCGACGCACGCTAGAGAGGAGGGAGGGAGGCACAGCGGCAGGCGGCAGCTAGAGCTTAGCTCCTGCGACGTCCACTGCTCTCTCGCTCTCGCATGGATATTATTGCCCAATCTTGCGCTAGCTAGCTTCCTCTCCTCCCTCCCATGTTGCGCTAGAGACGCACGCGTAGCACCAACGCGAGCGCCAGGCCGCCAGCTGCTTGTGGTCTCGCGCTCTCTCACTAGCTAGCTTGCTGCATCCTATCTATTCTTTCGAGGAAGAGGAAGGCAACAAGCTTAGCTTAGCTACCAAGGCAGGCAGCAAGAAGGGAGGAGGAGGAGAGGTTGCATTTGCACGTCGTGACACGGACGAGAGGCCACGCGCGGGTTCGTTCAATCGGGCATGGCGCTTGACACCCTGTGCAGCGCCGGCGGCGACGTCCTCATCTACGACACGTTCAACGCCTCCGCCGCGGCGGCGGCGGCGGTTGTGCCGCCGGCGAGCTTCCTCTTCGGGAATAATAATGCCGGCGGCGCGGCGGGGACGGAGACGAGGGTGCAGGTGGCGGCCGGGGCGGTGCCGGAGGTGGACCAGCTGCTGAAGCAGGCTCAGCAGCCGGGGAGGAGGAAGCGGCGGCGGCGGGCGAGGAGCTGCAAGAGCCGGGAGGACGCCGAGAGCCAGCGGATGACCCACATTGCCGTCGAGCGCAACCGCCGCCGCCAGATGAACGAGTACCTCGCCGTGCTCCGGTCGCTCATGCCGGAGTCCTACGTCCACCGGGTACGTACACTAGCACTTACTAACATTCTACATTTCCTGTACGCTGAACTTGGAACTCTGATCTGAGGTGAGAACTGATCCTTAGGGTTCATCTCCCTAGCTTGATTCTCATTTGGACATTGGATTTTGGGTTGTGCTGAACTGGAGTTGGCAAGAGAATGTTTCGGCGAGAAGCACTGTGATTTTTCTCTAGTATAAAAATCGTACCATTATGTACCCATCCAACTTTTTTTTTAAGAAAGATTCGTTCAACTTTTGTGATGTTTAAGCACTTTTTTTTTTGCTCTTTCTCGTCAACTGAATATTGAGGAATTTCCAGGTCTCTTTCATGCTATCCCAATAATGAATCATTAATTCCTCCATGGGGCATACGTTCCTCGGCCACTTTGTGCCATTAATGTGCATGCCCCCTCCATGTCATTATCATTGCTTGAATCATAGTAACATTATTACTGTTCTAGTTTACTCTCGCTGACACAACTGCTTCGCTCTAGAATCGCGATGATGCTAGGTATGCTAGGTTGATTTGATCTGTCGTCTCTGCACTTCACTGTCGCTCACTTGCTTGCTTTTAATTGGTCGGCGTGTAGGGCGACCAGGCGTCCATTGTCGGCGGCGCCATTGATTTCGTGAAGGAGCTCGAGCAGCTGCTGCAATCCCTCGAGGCGCAGAAGCGCACGCTGCTGATGCAGCCGCCGCCGCCACCGCAGCAGCAGCGGGAGCCCAAGTGTGATGCCGCGGACTCCACGAGCGCGGCCGATCAGGAGACTCCGGCGGCGGCGGCGGCGGCGGCGGCGGCTGATGGACCGCCGTTCGCGCGGTTCTTCACGTACCCGCAGTACGTGTGGTGCCACAACCCGGCGCAGGACGGCGGCGGGGGCGGGGGCGCGGCGGCGGAGAACCGCGCCGGAGTGGCGGACATCGAGGTGAGCCTTGTGGAGACGCACGCCAGCATCCGGGTGATGGCGGCGCGGCGGCCGGGGCAGCTGCTCAAGATGGTCGCCGGCCTGCAGGCGCTCCGGCTCACCGTCCTCCACCTCAACGTCACGGCCCTCGGCTCGCTTGCCCTCTACTCCATCAGCGTCAAGGTACGTATACACAGGAGTCTGCTGCCAAAAAAATTCCTCCGTTTTCTTGCTGAAATATGGCCCATTGTTGCTTTTGCGTTTCCTTTTTAAGCATAAACCGTCAGAAAAAAAAGGCTGAGAAGTTTCGTCATCCAAGATACATACTCCACATAAGATACGCATGAGATGTCCGCGAGTTAGATTAATAACACGAATAATCTATAATCTACTTGCTAGTACTAGTAGTAGAGTACTTCCTCCGTCCCAAAAAAAGATAAACCCTAGTTTTTATGTCCAACGTTTAACCGTCCGTCTTATTTAAAAAAATATGAAAAAAATTAAAAAGACAAGTCATGCATAAAATATTAATCATGTATTATCATCTAACAACAATAAAAATATGAATTATAAAAAAATTTCATATAAGACGGACAGTCAAAGTTGAACACAAAAACTTAGGTTTGACTTTTTTTTTTTTGAACGGAGGTAGTACATATGTGCAGCACCTGATGTGACAAACTGACCAACCAAGTTTGCAAGAGAGACAGCCATACTTCTGATCAGCTCAGATATACAAACTACTACACCCAAATACAAACTACCAAACGGATTGTCTTAGGTGGTGTTTGGTTGGAGGGACTAAAGTGGGGCTAAACTTTAGTCCCTCTCACAAAAGTATAAGTCTCTATGGTAGGGACTTATATTTTTGTGAGAGGGACTAAATTTAGTCCCTAGTTCCCAAACACCCCCTTAGCATATGGCCAACACGACTCCACATGTGTACAGATCGATGATGCGTGAGGCCATGAGCCTCATACACCGTGCTTGCGTGTACGCGGCTCAGCTGGCGCTGCACACGTCTTGACAATCATGAGAGGCCATACTCGCCAGCCACACAGGGAAGCAAAATCATCTCCATGCATCTGTTGCTGCCTATATAGTGTAGTACACGAGAACAATAAACGTGTCATAAATTCTCCTCTGTTACCCATCGTACGTAGACCAACATCCCCGGGGGTATTTTACTATACTAGTAGAGGCTATTGCATGGGTGATCACTGATCAGAATTGCGTCTCGCTGCTGCTGCTGTTGATGCTGCTCCATATCTGCCATGGCCGATTGCTTTTGACCAGAGATTCCATGGCGGAAAGGCCATTGCTTCCCTTGGCCCCTTGGGTGTGTTCTTTCTCTGTGCTCTGTATCTGTGGTACAGTACTACAGTGGTAAGAGTACGTAGCTCTGAACTTGATGTGCCCCAGTCGACTGGTGCTGCACTATATCAAGCCATGGCACTTCATACTCACAAAGGGAGATGCAGAATTTTATATATATATGTTTTATACTCCTAGATAGGTTTAGAGAGAGAGGGAGGGAGAGAGAGGACGATGGACAGCACTGTCACGGAGAATCTTTCTGCTGGGGAGTAGATTGCCAAGGCGAAATCTCAGCAGAAAAGAAAAAAAGGGCTACAGAGTTTTGTGTGTCATTGTGTGCTGCTGCCGCCTTTTCTTGCGCTGTTTTATTTACAGCAGAGAATCTGCCTTTACGAAACGATCGCTCTATTGAAAAGCGTCGCCTGTGCCTCGCTTTTTTCCTCCTCGGCTTTGTGCTTGTGGAGCCTCTGTGTCTGTGTGACTAGGCGATCGACTCGTGGTAGCCTCTCTGTCTGTCCCGTGTAATACCTTTGCTTATCAATCGCCGTTTGATTTCCCTCGAATCGCCCACTTTGCCTTGCGGGCATTAATTTGTGTACTTTGTGTTGCGTTGGCCGGATGTGAATGTGATTTGTGGCATCAAGCAATCCTTTGATTTTTGTGTGTGGATTTTGCATTTGCAGGTGGAGGAAGGGTGCGGCATGGCGACGGTGGACGACATCGCAGCGGCGGTGCACCACGTGCTCTGCATCATCGACGCCGAGGCGGCGTCGCAGATGCTGCTCGCCGGGGAGGCCTCCGGTTAGCGTGGCCACCTAGCAAGATAGGCGCGCGGCGGCGGCCGGTGTAACAAATCTGTAAAGTGTAGCGGATCTCGATCGATCTCTCCCCTCCCGTAGGCGAGTCGGGTGATTTGGGGGTCGGTGGCGTAGGGCAAAAGCCCGTGTAAGTGCAATAACATGCGGCCCGTTGTAATCCTAGCCGGTTTTTTTTTTTTTTTGCCGTCGAGTGTGTGCGTTTTGCGGTTTTCTCGGCGGAAGTCGACGTGGAATCCGGGGGAGTGAGACGGTGAAGAGAGGGTTTTTTTATCCTTGCTTGTCCCTCCATGTTGGGCCGACTAGGTACACAGCCTATGGGCTTGAGATTAGCACATGGTCCGGCCCAATTGAACACAGGATTTTCTTTGAGTAGTTGGAGTCATAATCTTAGGGCAGGTTTGACAGACTTAAGTTCAAGTAAACGGTTTCAGCATTACCTTAAAAGAAAAATAAACTAAAGAGCTGGAACAGGATTTATGCTGCTTCACAACTTCACTTCAGAAACAACTTATGAAGTTAAAATTAGAAATTGGAGCACTGACAAACACACCCTTATTCACCTGTTCCGTGATTTGGCTGATGCTCGCGCCTAATCCACATCGTCCATGTGGGATCAGAGAATCATGGTGAAGAGTCATAACAAACTGACAGCTAGTCATGTCCTCGCTAATTCTCCAATGCATACAGATAGTCATGTCCTTTTAGATCATGGGAATTAATGTGTTCGAATAATTATCACACGTGTTCACAATGTGCACATTCTTATTCTTGCTCTCACTAATTTACACTCCTTTTCCATCCAAACCCCACCACCGGCCTCTTTTCCCCTTTTGACTTTGTTTTTCATGCTCTCTAGTCTCTTCCGCCGAATCCTGAATTCCTCACGTGAATTCGGAACAAAGGCGCAAAGAGAGCAAAAGTACCAACACTCAATCGTCCACCACCTGCATTGTGTTCAAAACTCACCGGAATTAAAACACCATCTTGACGCATCTTTAGTAGTGCTTTCGCCGACTAGAAACTATTTCATTTCAGGGCAAAACACAACACCGAGTCACCGACGAAATCAAGCTCTCGTCTAAAGTACAAAAGCAGCAGGAAGGCAGGAATAGGATGCCCATGCTTTCTCCATTGCCTTAGTTGCTGATAAATTAGGAACATTTCTTTAGTGCTTGCATGCACAAAGATGATGCCGCCTTAGTGGGAAAAATAATGGCCACAAATCAACCTCAATAATGCAGATCACTTGCGAGTGTGATAAAGACGTCTACCTAGAGGGAGTTCAAGCTCATTTTCGTGGAATACTAATGGGAAGGTCAAAGCTACAGCAGTTGCAAGCAAACCAGTTTCATTTTGGGAAGCCAACACTTCAAATAAAAAGACTAGGGGTGATTAGTGAGTTTGTAACGTGTGCAAAGATAATTCACTTATATTTCATCAACCTAATCCCCGACCACAGATTTGGAATATCGGAAACGCATGTTATGCAGGGCTAATAGGACCTAGTCAGAAGATGCCAGCTTCATCGCTGTCACAGAAACTTCAACCGAACTACTTTGTCTATACATATGCAACTAGGTAGAGAAGCAACCGCTGGTCTCCTAAAACGAACAGATTTGGGCAAAGCAGATGAGAGAAAAAACAAATTCCAATTTGATCCAGACTGAAACCTGACTAGAAACACGCAGTAACTCGTGGCTAATTTGGTGTCAGTTTGCAACTTTGTCAGTACTAAGCTACTAATTCGTGGTTCACAGCAAACTCCAACCCGTTCCTGCAAATTCCATGCCCATAATAAGTAATAGGTCCATCAGTACTATGATGATGTTCTAAACACTGATTCTCCTGGGTTTTACCTGAAAAAAATGATTCTTGTATGCAAGAAAACAAAAGCTACTTTTTTATGTCAAACTCATAGGCCTAGTTCACACCACCATTCCATTTGATCCTTCACTTTTCCGCACCACCTAAATGCCAATGCGTAGAAACCAAAGAAAACGCAAGGTGGAGAAAAGTTTTAGCCTTGGTACTGAACTAGTGAACTCACAGAAGAACAAACTCCACAGAAAAATTGAACGGTGGGAAGTCAATGTAATGTATAAAATGGCAGAGCAAAAGAGAGAGAGAGAGAGATCAGCTCTCAGGTCCTTCTCAACTATGAACAAAAGAGACATTACCAACCAAGCACTGCAGAGGATCGATTTGGCAGTGGCATCACATGGAGTGAGGCAGCAGATCAACATTATCACAAGACGACATCTCCAGATTATGATGATTGTCCTTGCAATTTTTTCCCATTCGCATCTCATCATGCAAACAAAGGTTGCTTGTCCAGTATCCTAGAGTAAGAAAATGAGAACTGACCGCCTCACATTGGATGATCTGAATCTTTTCCCCTGCCGCTCTTGCTGCTGAAGCAGGATCTCCCACCGGAGGGCAATCTCTTCCCCGGCAGAGCCTCCATGGCGTCCTGCAGCTGCAATGCACGTCGGCTGCGGCCTCCCCTTCCCTTGCTGTTCTCGCCATGGCACCGTCTTGACGTGCCAGCGCCGCCTGCGAGGAGGCCACTCTCCCTGGCTGCCGTCAGCTCGTCTTCCATGGATTCCTGCAGAACGTCGGCGATGCACATGCGGTTGTCACGGTGAAGATCAAACGACGACGCGCCCCTCTTTGGCGGCGAGCCTTCTTCTCTGATCTCGGCTGCGCCATTGGCCTCCTCCATCCCCTCTGCGACGTCCTTCGCATCGTGATCATCATCGGCAGTGCTGGCCCTGCTCACTGCCTCCTGCTGCTCTTCACAAAGATTTTCCAAGCCATCCATCACCACAACCACCTCGTGTGTATTGTCACCTCCAGTCTCGCCTGGAGCACAGCCCTCCGGCTCCGGCGACGCCAACCCGACGGTGACGAAGGTGATGTTGGCGCGGCAGAGGGGGCAATTGGAGTGTGACTTGAGCCAAGTGTCGATGCATTGCTGGTGGAAGGCATGGCTGCACCTGGGTAGCAGCCGGAGGCTCTCCCCGTCACTGAACTCGCCGAGGCAGACCGAGCAGTCGGTGGTGTGGACGAACCCATCACCGCGCCGGTACTTGCACACCGTGATCTTGTTGATCAGGGTCTCGTCCAGCCCGCTCGGCGGCGAGACGTTCCATGACTCGTGGCTCCTCGACTGCCCGTGGCCGTGGCGGCCGCCGCTACCGGCACCGCCGCCATAAGCAGCGCCACCGGAGCTCGAGCCGAAGACCCTCCCCCTGAGGGAGCTAACGGTGCCACAGTACTTGGAGATGAAGGTGTAATAGCTGACGAGGAGGAAGGCGCTGGCCAGAACGCCGATGATTGCAATGACGAGAGGGGAGAAGACAGGGCCGGAGGAGTCGTCGGCGCTGGTGCCGGCGACGTCGAAGGGCGGCGGCGGAGGGAAGATGAAGTAGCACCACTGGGGGCAGTACATGCTGCACAGCCCTTGAGAGCAATCTCTCGTTGGCTCGTAGGGGACCCAAGCAGGAGCAGAGGATGCCATTGCCTCGTAGAACACGAAATCGGGCAGCTGCAAGACTGCAACAACAGAGAGAAAGGGAAGAACTAGAAAGAAGATAGGCAGATGTTAAGCTTCCTCAGTGCTCGGTCTGAGGCTCTGTGCAAGTACTAGCAGAGGATCTCTGCAAGTTTCTGGACCGAATCATTGGTGAGGAGACGAGGGAAGGAGACAGATGTGTGACGGCCGTGTATATGTTCAATCCATGGTATACTTGCTTTCTTGGTGTCGGGAGTCGTGAGAGGATGGGGAGAGATATCAAGATGATGCCTCTGGCTGAGAGGACGAGAGGAGTTTGCTTGTTGCAAAGCAAAGATTTTTCTCCTTTTAATTTGGGTGGAGGATTGAGCGGTTGTTGCCTTGTGTTGGGGGACCTCTGCTTTTGTTTTTGGGTGCTGCAGGTCTTCTTTCTTCTCTTTTCCTTTGCCCCGTTGCTGTTCCTTTCCTCTTTAAACTCCACCGTCTCTTTTGCAACACCAACACAGATCAGAAGATGAAGAGAGGATGTCCAGTTGGTATGATTAAAACACACTATAGTACGAATAGAAAACATGGGCAGAATAGTTCACGAATCACGAGGAAGGTGGCGTTGCTGCATCAGTGCAGCGCAGCCAAACAAGGTTCCACTGTACGGGATAAATGACAACTATCAGTATCAGATTCTACCAGTCCCAGCGTGATAAGGTCATGTGCATTCTCATCTTTAACTAGCGTGACAGAATTTCATTAGTTTGGTGACTGAAAGCTAAAGTTTACTCTAGTTCAAAATTTAAAGATGATCCTGAATTTCATTATCTGGTTCCTAATTTAAAGATGACGTAGGCTTTTGTGAAAGAGATACTTGAAAGCTTTTCTTAAGTGCCAAAGAAGTAACTTTCATCAAAGCCCAGCAGCTAAAACATCATTATCCTGTAAGAATGACAGAGTTGGGACTAAGTAGAACAGTACAACTTGAAATCTCCCGAAACAATCTGATTTGTTCAAGTAAATGGAGACAATGATTACTAGCACTATTTGACAGCTTTCGTCATACTTATCCATTTCCAGCACTAATACTATTGCTGTGCCCACTAAAGCGTTTGATAGCTTGCATTAGTAACTTGTAAAATTAAAAAGAGACCATATACTTCTATTTCAAGTCAAAGGGTAGCGTTAGGGAGATTCAGACGGCAATTTGGATCGACAAGCAGAATATATGCACAGAAATGCAGTTTAGCCTCACCGTGTATCCACATTACACTAAAGAAAAGGGAACAAATCAAGATTCAAGACAAAATGCATTCATGAATCACATGAATGTAATTTTATTCCAGATAATTAAGCCAGAACAACAAACATGGTTTTATACAGAAGAAATCGGACAAAAGGAAATGGATATGCAGAAATAGTTTAGAAGCAACTTTTTTTTTGAACGGAACAAGCAACTTTTAATACGATAGTCCCCATTGTGAAGAACAGACAGATTTGATATGTCTAATTATCTTCTTTCAGTGATCAAATCATCACTTCCGTATGACGCTACAGCAGGAATAACACTGCGTGATACACATAGGAAAGAGAAGTGCATATGTAGATAAAGGAAACTGTGCGGTTTCATTCTAATACTAAGGTCTATTTTCCTGGGTTATTTACAGAGGACTATCAAATCAAGTTCATTCTCACTCCTTATGAGGGATGACCTTGAGAAAGAAAATTATGTTTAGATTTCTCTAAGATGATTAACTATTTCTCAAAAAGAACATTTGCTTCACACTACAAAAGCCATATTTTTAACCCTTTTGGGTATTTTTAAATTCTACATCTCCCTCGAATTGAACATGCTTACCAGAACATGCAAATAGATCAATTGAAGTTTTGTTGCAGTCAGATAAAGTGGTGGACCAGGTAATAGAGGAATAGGAGTATCCTTTTCTTTTCCAAAAGTATAATCTCACTGATAGGGATGACTTTTTGACTCAACACTCCTATGAAGAAACTTAAAGAAATCTCCTGGACATATTTGCGAAAATCAGATCTCAGTTTGGATCAATCAGGCCCACATTAGTTCCTTAAAATTTGCAGGAGCGACTGCTTTAAAGTTTAACAAGTAAAATATGCTCCTATTTGCCACTCGATTCCTCCTTGGAGAGGTGCCACATAAAGTCAGGCGCATGGCTTGCTTTTGTAGTCATCAGACCATCATCATATTACAACTTCTTATCCAGGGGACTAAACTGGATCATAACTCTTTAAGAACTGTTTCAAGCAGTTTCACGAAACAGCCTATTGTTGACTCTTGTGGATTAAGAATGTTGTCAAGACAACTCTATTTGGTTCAGTTCATCAGAGAAATACTTCAGTTACACTATCCTGTGTACCATAGGCTATCGAGGGATGACACTTCCAAGACCTCAACATATGCATGCAACCATCGAGTACATGCTCTAGTAGTATATCAAAACCTAATAAGTTGCAAGTACTTAAGTGCTTAAAGTTTTCAACACACTCCATAGTGTTTGATTAGTGGAAGGTCTAAAGTTAAGGTGCAAGAAAATTTCAACTATTTTTTTCTTAGCCTAGGCATCTTGCAATAGGAAGGAAACCTTTCTTGGGCTTACCATGAATCGTTAAGTTTTGAAAGCATTTCAATAGGCAGATGCATCATTAGCAAGCAATGAGAGTGTCTGGGTACTAGATGCTTCTATTCTTAAATGCAACGGGTATCCTGATTCTCATCAACAACTATTATGACTAGCATACCATCAGTGACTAGCACATGCATATCTGTTGGCAAAAACATATATGATTCAGGTACTGCATACTGTGCATGATCAAAACACTAGTAAAGCTAAGCAATATTCTGTAAAGACCTCTAGGAGTCTTCAGCCCGTCTTTTAGTATTTTCAGATTTGTATTACAAGAATCACTACAAAAATGAGAGATGAAAAATAGTGTTATGGTTCTCCAGGGTTAAAGAGAATCATATGCAGCAATAGGAGAGAAACGTTCCAGGAACATACTCCCTCAATCCCTCAGTTGATTTTGATAAGAACTATTTAATTTTACGAGTCAAACTTTGTAGGCTTTGACCAACAATTATAATTAAACTACAACTTTATTGAGTGTGTAATAATAACACCAATAGATCCATACTTAAAGTGTTTTCACACAACATTGGTTTCACGGCTGTTAATAATATATTTTATGTGAAACCAATAGTCAAAGTTAAATCTTGAAGGCTATTTGGAAATAAAACTCAAGGGGACAGTAAACGGCATGATGATTTCCCTTTTTATCCTTTCCACAGGTGATGTCCACGACAAAAGAGTAACTTGTATTTTAATAGTACCTCATTGGGCAAATTAAGGACTACTATAGGGAATACCTAAAAGTTGCTGAGACAACAATTGTCTCAGCAGGAGAAGATTGATGATCACAATAAATTACAGATAATTAGAGTAAATACATTACTGAAAATGAACACTAAAATTTAAAATATTAATCCATTCAACAACAATTTTTCACCTTAGGTCAGAGGTGGCACCCTTTTGTTCCTCATCTCCTTATCAGCGTCAAGCCGTCAACCACAGACATATATTGCAGTATTTGATTACAATATCTCCTCTGTTTAAAATCTACAAATAAAAGAGCCATATCTGAATTTCTGTTCAATGCCAAAGGTATGGTAAATTGTTGCATGTAAAGTAACATGGTGTCATAACATTATGGCGTGTCTACATGACACAGTTTATCTCAAACAACAAATTATTCGCCTGAGCACCGCATTTTTTTTCAATCTCACATTATTATGGAATCATGGTAACGAACAAGAGACATTTAATGGTAAATGATAATATACTGCCAATTCTGGCAGATAAAAACATAGAGATGCTCGCCAAATTGCATATTAGGTGTCCATGTGGCAGTGCATTAAAGATTGATTGGTACAAATGATAAAAACATGAAGTTTTGGGTTTTTTATAAATATATGCAGGCGAAAATGTGCAGTTGAGCTAAATAAAGCAGGTGAAACAAGATTACTGATTTTTTTTGGCGTGTTAAGAAATGGAACTTTCCACCATAAAACAAGTTCAATCATCTAGTGTGACTATGAAGCATCAACCATGAGGTGCTAAGTTAGATTATATTAGTCACGCACCAGGAAATGTAAAAAACTTGTAGCTGTACAATGAGGCTCCACATATGTACTATTAATGAGGCTGCTGGTAACTTTCTCCGAGTCCAAACACAGTATTGTTAAACTATTCCTGTTTATCTTCACCATGATCCTTAGTACCATTATCAGTGACACCTTCAGCCTCGCCATCAACATTTGCATCTTCAATTTCACCATCAGCCTTTACACTGTCATCCGAATCATCTACACTTTGTCGCCATCTCAAACGAACAGGTCTTCCCATAAGCTCCTGCATGACAAAGAAATGTAAACTTTAATACCATGGTGTCCAATGTGCTTGCAATCTTACATATATAGCATCTTATTTCATAGGAAGTCAAAAAATTGGGGGGAAGGTGGCAGAAACTACTAAAGGTTAGTACATTACTTAATATGCCTAATGGGAAATCTTTAACAACAATCGATAATTTAAACAACATTGCAGAAGTTAATTTATAAATGATCAGTTATCATTCTTGGTATAAAATGTAAAATTGGAAGGCAAAGTCCATGTAGTTATCACCTTCCCATCGAGTTCAGTGAGAGCAGCTTCGGCTTCCTCTTTTGTCCCAAAAGAAACAAAACCATAACCAGCTGATTTTCCTGATGGGCTATCAAAGACCACCTTAGCAGAAAGTGGATTAAATTTTGAGAAAAACTCCTTCATATTGGGAGCCCTTGCTTTCCATGGGAGATTGGACACATAAAGTTTGTGCCTCTCCAAAATTGTGCCCGGAGGAGGAGGAGGAGCAGGTTTTCTGAAACTCTTTGAAAACTCCACCCTGATGGTCCTTCCCATGACATCCTGCAAAAGATCAGTGATGCAGAAACTAGTAATAAGATCTCCATCGCTGAGTACCACGAAAGCTTAGATACATATAAGTCTATATCATTCTTGTCAGGAGCTTAGATACATATAAGTCTATATCATTCTTGTCAGGACCGCCAGTATCTGACTTCAAGCTGCTAGCATGTTGATGATAAGATCACTGAACAATACTTCAACTGTACCTGACTGATACTATTGTGAGAAATTTTGAGTCTACCATAATATAAGCTTGTACTATATAATCAAATTATTGAATTTCCACCATTTATAGGCATCCATCCCTCCACTAATAGAAACAAGTAGCCAATATGATTTTTGCATATATAAAAGTGTGTTTTCATTATTTTTTTTCAGCTTTGTCTATGGGGATGTGGGGATCGAAGTATAACCCTAGACCTCATCCAGATGTATTCATGAAATAGCAATGTCTCCATGTTTAGTCCTCATCCTGTGGGGATTGAAGGAAAGTAAGATGAACAGACACATCTAAACATGCATCGCAATTTGCAACCATTTTCCACTTTGCGTGCGAAAAATAGCATTTAGGTTGTGTTTAGTTCCACACTAAAATTGAAAGTTTGAAGAAATTGAAATGATGTGACGGAGAAGTTGGAAATTTGTGTGTGTAGGGAAGTTAGATGTGACGGAAAAGTTGTAAGTTTAAAAAAAAAGTTTGAATCTAAACAGGGCGTTAGCCGCATTTGTGCTCTATCAATCCGATATCCAGTGCATGTGTATTATCATATTCTAATCGATAGACTAGCGCGAAGTTTTCATACGCTAAATCAAAACAGTAAACAAACTCACGAGGGAGTTGAGCTTCTCCACAGCAGCGGCGGCCTCCTCCGCCGTTGCCATCGTGACGAACGCGAACCCCTTCTTCTTCCCATCCTTCCCCTTGATCACCTTCACCCAAAAAAAAAAAAAAGCCACGCGTGTCTCAGAACACCATAGCCCAGAACTCAAAGCTACGCCTCCATAAGCATGGCAACTGGGCCGTACCGGTTACTCACCTCGACGTCCTTGACGGCGCCGCACTGCGCGAAGAGCTTCTCGATCTCCGGCGCGGGGAAGGACCAGGGGATGTTGGCCACGTACAGCTTCCGCCGCTTCTCTCCCCCCTCCTCCTCCTCCTCCTCACCATCCTCGACCGCCTGCGCCTCGGGAGGCGAGGAGGCCGCGACCGCGGCGGCCGGGAGGCGGCGGATGTCGATGAGCGGGTGGGGGCGGCGAGGGGTGCGGAGGAGCGGCGCGAGCCGGGGAATGCGCGGGGCCGGGAGCGCGAGCGCCGCCGCGGCGTGGTGGTGGTGGGGGGGGCTTCGCGCGAGGGAGAGCGCCGCCATTGGTTCGCTCGCGGATAACGTGAGGCGGCGATGTGGTGGTCGCGGCGACGCTTATACCCAGTTTCGATTCGCCACGGCCGTGTGCCATCGTAATTCGGCCCGTTGCGTCGGCCCAGTGGATAGCCCTATGTTTGGGGCCCAATCCAAGTGAGGAAAATAATGGTTAGCTGCGTGTTCGTCGTAGACCATATAGGGATGTGCAAGAATTGAATCCTATCATGTCTCATGAATAGATGAATTCGTAGACCAAGGACCAAAAAATTAGTTGTCCATCTTGTTGATCCTGTCAAGATCATCGATTGTTCACGGGTTCGACTGTTTGATGAAGATTATTCTTTCTTCTCTATGGTAGTGGTGTGAGACAGTGAGAGGCTAACCTGCAGTCCTGCAAGGCTGTAATTGCAAACATCATATGGCACAAAATGTCTTGAAATATTTTCACACATGTCATGGCCATCCACTGATACTCCAAACTCACAGTCATGCTAGGATATAAAGTACCAGAACATCCAGATTCAGCGCATCTTCAAAAGTGTACCTTGTCAAACAAACAGTTACACTGAAGGAATAACAAGATTGCTCCTGTTGCAGTTCTCAAAAAAAAAAAAGATTGCTCCTGTTGCCTGACGAATAACAAGTAACCATATTTCTGGGTGCTATAAATGCATTTGGTTCGTCCAAATCCGAAGGTGCATATGCATATCCAGTTACTATTAACCACTAAATATGGGTGAGTATTCGATACTGTTTTTTTACTACGGGCCTACTACTGCCTTTGTTTTACTGGAGTAGATCGAGGGTACTGCCCTTATCACTGCATTCTGCATCGTATCCTCTGTCAGAGTATCAATGTCTCCTCATTCCGCTACGATTGGGCTAGACCGACAGAGCAGACGTCAAGATCCAGTGTCCATCTCCATAATAAGACCAAAGTAACTTCAGGAACTGGAGGCAACTACACACAGCCTTGCCATAACAAACCGGTCCAGGAGGACTTGTGCCATTGGTGGCATAGAAACAATGTACGTAGCTAGTGTCGTTTCTATTCTAAGATCACCTGCTAGGAGCTTATCATGACTGTCATTTGATTCAGGCCTAATTTCAGTAGGACCCGGGCATTATTTTTAGCTTTGCTGGTTTCTTAAGGAAGGAGCTTCCTGACAACGCCTGATTCCTGGGACCTAGTTTTGGTGCAGAACCTTTCAACGTCCCCCTTTTGAACTAGTATGCATATTGTGAGGAAAATACCGACACCACTTGGCCTCACCAAAGTCACACATCTCTGAACTTTTCTTCGTTGGACTTCAAAGCGAGGGAGGAAAAACAAAACACTGGCTGCCCGTGCCTTGTGAATTCTGCAGCGAGGAAAGCGATCTGATGGACTATACAAAGAACTATAGAGCGCAGTAAGAGTTTAGGGGGCTCATGAGATATTAAAAGGCTACTGATTTTGTATGTGCATACACTTTTTTCCTCATGCTAATATCCTATGCCTCTCTCCCTGTCACAAAGATTGCTCAGGATCTATTGCCTCCACAACTTTTCATTTGTTTTCTCTTATTTATGAACCTTCTTGTTCTACCTCTGAACTTATCTGATCGAAAAGAGGTGCTCCCACGAAGGAGTGGGATACTACTGACTGTCACCACACCACTACAGCTCTCGATTATCTATCACATTTGCTTGGGGGGAATTCCTTTGTGTGGAGATATGATGACAAAATGGTGGCCATGAAGCCATGAACTCCAACAGTCCATCCACCCACTGACCAGTGACCACTCACAAATGCATAGCAGAAAAAGGCAAGGAGAGAAATATGCTCTCAATGGGATTGAGATCAAATGCAGTAGCTACTAGGACTGCATGGTAACTACTGCACACAATCCAAGCCCTCCATGTCAAAATCTAACGGCCTAAAAGGATTCAGCACAGTAAAATCAGAACAGTTCCTTTTCTACAGTAAATCGCTACAGTGTTTTGCTACAGTGCTCAGATATATCTGGAACGTCCATTTTGAATCATGTGATGCTAATGTGACTGCTTATCTTGCAGTCACACTAGCTACTGCACCTGAATCGGATCCCTCTCAATGGCGTGGTTAGCAGTTAGCTGAACCCCCATTAAGCCACCACAGTTTCACAGTGACAGTTATAATCAACTGAACTTTGAATGAATGGCCACATTTTGTCACTGTGCCTAGCGTCACTGATGGGCCCACCTGTCAGCCGCTGTTGGCAAAGATTCCGTGGAAGGCAGCCCGTGCCGCCTAACACTTGCCATAGAATAAACGAAGCAAGTACGGTGGCCCGGCCCCCGCGTTGCTTTCATTGTGGAAAGCCAATAGAAACTCGGAAATATCCCAAAGCTTACGCGCGATCTACCCCGATCCACGTCCGCGTCCAAATCCTCCTCGCGCTCGGGCTCGCCGATCCATCCACCACCGGACCGGCCGAGCGCCCGCGTGTGGCCCATCACGCATCAGCGGAAAAAACCTAACCCCACCGCAATCTGCGTCCCTCCCCCCCCCCCACCCGTAGTGATCCACACGGCCGCGTCACGGACGGCGCCCGCGACCGGCCGCGACACGGCGAGACGTGAGGGGTTAGGTCGCCCAGGAGGAAGCGGGGGCCGTGAGCCCGTGACATCACCGCGGCGGCGTGGGAGGGAAAAAGTCGTCGCGTGTGTGTTTGTGCGTGCGATACGGGGGCCGTTGAGTGCGGGGGGTGGCAACACGCCACGCGCGCGGCTGCAGGGGCAGAACGGCCGTGTCGTGCGTGATGGGCTCGGCTCAAGCCCGCGCGCGCCGCGGTGAATTCGCCAGCGGCGGATCGATCCAATCCCGACGGGCGCGACACGGGAGCATGGGGGAACTCAGATCCACGGAGCCCACCTCCCACACCACCCGCCTGTCACCATTTTGCGCCGCGCTGCCGAACGCCGACGGTGCGCGCGTGTGCGCCGCACAACGGGACGGACGGACGGACACATGCACGCATTCGCCCCGGCATCCTCCTACGGCAGGGGCCGTCCGGCGCGTGCACCTCACCTTTCCCTCGATTGGGAATCTCAATCTCGAGTCTACATATATATATACAAACACGCACGTGGCATGCCAGTATATACACGTATAATTGGGCATTGTACGACGGATCTCGCCTCTAGATCGATCCCTCTTTATTGAGAGAGAGAGAGAGAGAGAGAGAGAGAGAGAGAGAGAGAGAGGGAGAGTGTGCCCACCACTGCCGCGTTAAATGCCCGGACGGCGGTTGGACGGATGGCTCCTCTCCCGTATGGGAGGAAGCAACCAACATGGACGATGATGATGATGACAACGTCGGCATCACCGGGCGGCCGCTTTCCACAGGCCAAACGGCGGGTCAATGGAGTTAGGCGGGGGCCGCACGGCGGGCGCAACTTGATCGACCCCGTCCTATAGCCACAGCAGCCATTCCTTCACCTGCAAACATACAGTACTACAGAGCTCTGAATCTCAAGTCGCATTACCCTAGTTCTCAACAATTCTCCGTGCATTGCACGATCTCGTTCACCGGAGCCACTCCCAATTGCTGTACTACAGTACAAGGGAAGAAGGGGTGAAGAAGCAGAAACCAAGCAATGCAAAACAGAGAAGGAAATTACTGACTGACATTGAAGGCCATCAGGAGCAGCATTCTCATCTTTATTACAGGCAAGCACGAATATGAACACCGGGAGCACCATCTCCTACTACCATTCCCCCCACCATCTGTGATATACATATATGTACATCTACCATATCAAACACAGAGTAACTAAAAGAGTAATAAAGACCTATAAGGTTTCAGCAAAACTTAGTAGTTATGACAGGGAGTAACTACTACCTCCTCTCCTCTTCCACAAGAGAGAACCCAAACCCAAACCGTTGTTACTAGCACAGTAACTGTAACTATGAAGTAACTGTCCCACATTGCATTTGCACCGGCCTCCTCATCCAGAAGCACAGGGGTGCAATGGGGGATCCTGTTATTACTAAGCTCCTCCTTTTCACTGGCTATGTATGCTATAACTATAGAGATAGATATGGATATGTGTATGCTACAGTGTACCACTGTTTCGGGGGCGAGGCCGGCATGGCGGCATTGCTTCTGCCCTGCTTTAGAACTCCACCATGAGGCTGCCGAACGGCGACCGGTGCGGGACGCCCTTGCGACGCTTGCCGGTGCGGTAGCTGTTGGCGGTCGCCGGAGGCGTGGACGGGGTGAAGCTCTGCACCACGCTGCTCTTGTCGCTCCCGCCGCTTGTGGTCGTGGAGGAGTCGTCCGAGTCCGACGGCACCGCCGCCGCGCCCTTGTGCAGCTTCTTCGTCTTCTTGATGCCGCCGCCGGCGTGCCTCTTCCGGCCGCGGTAGTCGCCGGAGGTGCCGACGATCTGCGCGTCCAAGAAGGCATCTGTCAGCACAATGCGATGCAACACCAGGTGTTCGTGCGGCGGCGGCCAACGGGGGGACGTAACGTACCTTGCAGCCGAGGGAGCAGAAGCGGAAGGTGTCGAGCAGGCTGCGCTCGCAGACCTCGCAGGTGTTGGTGACGCCCTTGCCGGGCCTCGGCTGGGGGCGCTCGTTGAGGAACACGACGCGCGCGCTGTTGATGATGTACGTCTGCACGCCGGTGATGTCCAGCACTTTCTGTATCTCCGACACCCGGATCACGTCGTGGTAGGAGGACCTCCGTATCTGCGCACAACACCAAAAAGAGAAAGCATCGTCTTCGTCAGAGATAAGCTGCTGGAGATGGAACAGAACAGAGGCATTCGCTGCCAATTCAAGAAAGTTGGTTATTCCGATCCTTGGACTGTTCCTAATGCGTGTGGGGAAAGAGAGGCCGTTGGTTGAACTGGACACAACTGCAACTGCAAGTCTCAAGAGACCTTTTTCTCGTTCGAGTTAAGCTTCGCTTAGCTCTTTGAGTGTTCCAATGGGAACCGAACAGAGGAGCAGCAGCTCAGCTGCCGTTTCTTCCAAAGAAAGGGTGCAATCAGCTGCTCCAGCTAATCCAATGCCGAGAAGGAAGAAATGCCGAGGCTTGCTTGCTTGCTCACCTGGATGGCGTGGTGGTCGCGGTGGTAGGAGAGGCACTGCGAGCAGAGCGCGCCGTTCATGCAGTCGAGGCAGTACATGTTGCACTCGCTCTTGTGCGAGTCCGCGTGCAGCTTGCATTGGCCGAAGAAGCTCGTCGCCAGCAGCGGCTTCAGCCATGGCGGCCACCGCTGGTTCTCCGCCCCGTCGCACTCCCCTCCTCCTCCCTGCCGCATTCGATCCAACGCCGCCATTAGGATCAATCAATCAGCCAAGAAAGAAAAAAGCAACAACGAACAAACCGATCGAGCCAACACCAGCAAGAAAAAGAGAAATCACGTTACCATGGCGCCGCCTCTGGTGGTATTGATTCTGAGCGGCGATTCATCGTCTATTGCCATTTCCAAACCCTGAACCAAATCCGCGCGCGCAGCAAAGGTGCGGAGCTAGAACTAGAATGTGAAGGGAGGATTCGAGTGGGTGGAAAAAGAAGGGAGGGGAGAAGAACGGGAGGAAAAGGAATGGGCTTTGTGGAAGAAAGAAGAAGTGGAGGTAGGAAAGCTGAGGTCTTTGTAGACCGGAGAAAGGTTTGCAACTATCACCGAACCGCACCGGGTGGTGGTGGTAAACCAACAGGGGCCCGGATGCTTTGCGGGGAGACTATATTGCTCGTCTCGTCTCGTAGCAGCCCCTACTCGTTCTTATCCGATCCGCTCCTCCTCCGGGTCGCCGCCACACCGTGTGCCACCCGCCCCCCACCTTTCAACGCTCGCACGGCACCAGCAGAAAACCGGCTTTTAGATTATTGTTCGCTCGCTCCATCGCGACGCATCCAGTGGCGGTGACTGCTTGCTGCAGGGTGCAGATACTGAACACGCCGGTGAAATGAACAGGGAGGAGTGGCCACGGAGTCTGTGCGAGTTTGACGCTTTTCACATTGTCTTTTCCAGGGGAATTTACATCGGCCGCGTGCAGGTTGCAGAGTGGCAGACTCGCAGTCAATTGTGCCGCGCAGGCGGTGTTTCTCGTCTCATCAGCCGTGACGTCGTTGTAGCCGTAACCGGATCCGGGGTTTTGTGTGGATCCGGCCCGACTAAACTCGTCCTCGTTTTCCACTCCGTTGGTGTGTTTAGTTTATGCCTGGTGCTTTGTGCGCGCGGTTTCTTGGTCACTTGCTCCACCAAATGCTTCTGTAGCTTCTGTAGGGAGGGGGGGGGGGGGGGGGGGGAAAAGGACTCTTAGGGTGTAGCCAGAAGCGCCAAAGCAAAGCACTCATCAGCCACGTTTTTCTCGGCAGAAAAGTTACCACTAAACCGCACCACTAATCAACACTCAAGAGAGAGCAAATCACCACTCCAAAGCATCGAAGGGAGAAAGGTGAAAATCACCGATCGATGCATCCGGTGCAGTTTAACCCCAGTGGGGGCAGTGCAATGCAATTGGGCTTAAGAGGGATCGGATGCTTCCTTTCACATTCTGTAGGTAGTAGTGTATGTTTGTCTCGGATGTTGACGGAGCTCGTGGCCCCTCACCGGGAGACTGCGCAAGCCCCCCTTTGCCGGTTCGACCAGGGGCTTAGGGTGCAATCCCAAGCTCTCTCTCTCTCTGTATGTGGAAGGATCACCCGCCCGCAAGACACACGAGACACGGCGACGTATACAGGTTCGGGCCGCTGTGAAGCGTAATACCCTACTCCTGTGTTTTTGTGGATTTGTGTATGGACAAGTTACAAAGGATTAACTCCCTTTCCCCTCCGCCTTCCCAAAGGGAAAAAAAGTCCTCCTCTAAATGGGCAAGGTCCTCCTTTTATATCTCAAGGGGATACCACATGCACCTTTCTCTTTCCAAACTGGACTGTTCTTTTTCTCTTTAATGGGCGGAGATCGGTACGGTTTCCATCCGGGAGCCCTTCTGATGGGACAGCCCACACCTACCCCCACCTCCCCCGAAGACAGAGATGACGCGGGACCGTGGCTGTCTGTCGATGACGCGACCAGTGCCAGACCGGTCATTCTTGTCCACCACGCGTCAGCTTAACAACGTGCATGTTTGCCCTTCTTCGTGTAACACCTTGCCTGTAATGGTTAGGATGAAGCCTGGTATAAATCTGACCAGGGCTAACGTGCCATCTCTAAGAGATAACACGCTAGCTCCGGCTTGAGACGAGTGCCTAGAGGCTTTCGTCTTGACGGGATGGGGCAAGGCGTGCGTCAGACCGCCAGTCGCCACCTAACCCGTGATTTGACCGGTCTGTGACTGGTCACAGACCGGATAAAGGAACGCGCTGTACTGCGTTGCATGCAGCGTGACACGCTTGACCAGACTGCAATAAATGCTGTTAGGTGAGCACAGCTGTGCTCACTTATCCCATATATGTGGCGCAGACTTCCTTAAGGGGTCGGGGTGCCTCGGCCCTCGGGGCCGGGGCAAGCGCAACCCGACCCCCCCCTCGGGGGAAATCAGGAGGAGGGCGGACACCTCACCCTCGGGCCCGACGTCCCCGAAGGTGCCAGGCCACGTGGGCGATTGCGTCTGCCTCAAGCCTCTGGTCATGATACTCCCGGTCCCATATCACCGACAGTAGCCCCCGGCGTTATGCCAGAGCAATTTCCCTTCCCAAGGGAAGCGGTCAGGTGTGACGCCACCCCTAAAGCCTGGTGACAGGTGGGACCGGTCTCCGTAGTTGGGCAAAATACCCAACGGTCTCAATCCATGCACATTGGTATTGGTAACTTTGGTTGTCCATAATGGGCGGTCTATTCAAGACTGCCACACCACTTGAGCAGCGCGCGAATCTGGGTGAGCAGATTGGTCTCGCCCGGAGATACGGTAACGCCGCTTCGGTCGGCGAGCGTAATTAACGCGCGCACGATACAATCCATTTCGATTGCCACAACCGCATATCCACTTCATGCGCCGTAAGCGGGCGAATGGGATTAGTGGAAGCGTGGGCACGGGAAACGAGGGAGCGAGATAGCGAGATACGAGGGAGCGAGGTAGTGGGCGCGAGAAACGAGGAGCCAGGCCCAGCGATGGCAAGGGTATAAAAGCATCGAGAAAAGGATTTGCTTCCTTCCTTTCGCCATTGTTCCTCTTGCCTTCGCCGCCTGAGCTCTAACTCTTTCTCTGCTACGCCCTACTTTCGCCACACGCGCTCGTTCTCAATCATCTCTTCCTCCACCGCCATGGCACGGGGCTCTGCTCTGCTCGACGGCAGTGTACTACCGCCTTCCCGCATCGTGAGCGAGAGGCACGCCGGACTGCCGCGCCGCTTCATGCCGGAGTCCGCCACCGGTCGGGAGATAGTGATGCTGGGCGAGGGGCGCCCGGCACCAGACTACCCGGGGCGGTCCATCTTCTTCCTCCCCTTCGCAATGGCTGGGCTGGTCCCGCCATTTTCTTCTTTCTTCATGGATGTCCTGGAGTTCTACGATCTCCAGATGGCGCACCTCACCCCCAATGCGGTGATGACATTGGCCATCTTCGCGCACCTGTGCGAGATGTTCATTGGGGTGCGCTGTCACGTCCTGATAAATTCATCCCGAAATAAAAATCATCTTCTAAAAGGAATAATAGAATTAATTAAAATTCGAAAAGAAATTGGCAAACACTAAAATACGTACAAGAAAAATTCAAATGTGACCCGGAGAATTTTTGTTAAATTCTCCTTGGTCTAAAAGGAGCCCTCAAATTTTAGTGGAATTTTCAGAGCACAAATAATAATTGAGAAGAAATAAACAAAGTTGAAAAGGTTTTATAAAAAGAAAAACCCTAAAAGAAGTCCTCTTTTCCCCCCCCTTCCTTCTTGGGCCGGCTCGGCCCAGTCCCTCCCTCTCTCTCTCTCTTCCCCCGCGGCCCATCGGCCTCCCCCGCGCGCGCGCCGCTGACAGGCGGGCCCGCCCGCCGCCCTCGCTGACGGGTGGGGCCCACCTGTCATCGCCTTCCTCCCGCCGCGCCCGCCGCCGCGCCCGTGCCCTAGCGCCGCCGCCGCCGCGAATCCCGCCGCTCCCGTCCGCCCCGCGTGCAATCAAGAGGGGGGAATTATTCCCCGCAATCCCCTCTCCCGTTTCCCCCTCTTTTCCCTCTCTCTCTCCCTCGGATTCGTTCGAATCAAGCCCGTAATCGTCGCCGGCGCAATCAATGGCGGCCGAGATCTTCGCGCGCGGTTTCCTCTCTCCCCGGCCGCCCTCTCTCCCTCCCGGCGCTATAAAAACGTTGCCCGAGCTCCGCTCTTTCGTTTCCGCCGCTCGCCGCTCGCTCTCGCCGTCGGAATCGTGCTCGCGCCGTGCTCCTCTCTCTCCGCCGTCGCCGCCGTGCTCCGGTTCGCCGCCGCCGTCGCTCCGGACTTCCTCCCCACTCGGCGACACCTCCCTCGGCATCGCCGCATCGCCGTCGACCCCGTCCGCGCCTCCACTTCGCCCGCCGACCGCCGGAGCACCGTCGTCATCGTCTTCCCGAACCGCGCCGCCGCCTTCTTCCGCTTCGGCCGCCATTCTCGTCGTCGTCGTTGCCCCGGGGTGAGCCGAAGACCGCCGTTCGCCTTCCCCCTTTCCTCCTCTCTCTCGGGTGCCACTCCGCCGCGCCGTTGGTCGCCGGCGGCGACCATCGGGGCGCGGGTGCGCGCCGCTCCCGTCGGCCGCGCCGGCGAGGCCGCCCTCGGGCGCGCCCTCGCGGCTGCCAAGTGGGCCCGGCCGTCAGCCGCCCGCGCCCGCGGGTGCGGCTGACGCGCGGGACCCACGGCGCCGACCGCCGCCAGCCGCGTGCGCCCGGTCCACCGTGGACCGAGCGGCTGACGCGTGGGCCCCCACCCCCGTGGACCCGGTCCGCGCGCCCGCTCCCTCGGCTGACGCAATAAATAGGATTTTTAATTGAAAATTAAATGAAGAAATTCGTAAATATCCATTTAAAGAGCATATAAACTTCAAATGGCCATATCTTGGCCATTTGAACTCGGAATTGGACCGTTCAAGTCTCTAATTTTTCCTTAAGAAGTCAAGAACCCATTTTTGTGCTTTGTTTCTGCTGTTATGTGGAGTTTATTAGAGTAAAAGCCTTTTCCTTTCCGTTGGTCGTGTAGACGCTGCAGCTTCGGAAGATCCGCTCTTCGTGGAAGTTGAAGCCGGTGTTTGGGAAAGCGAGCAAGGCAAGTCACATCATCCTTGATCATATTGAATCCCAGTTTGTAAAATTATGTTGATTTAAATTATTGCATTACCGCTTTATTTAAATTCCCGCGTTATCACTGTTTTATTTAGCCATGCCTATGTACCTTTGTTATGACCATACTATTATTGTTATTGTTATTATTACCTTGTTCACCCTAGAATAAACAAAACCCCATCTAGTGGACACTCTATTTATGGTTCCACTAGTATGAATTTAGGTAGATGCTTCGCTGATTAAATAGGACAACATTAGGTGGTTTTATAACTTTAGACTTTGGGAATTCTCATATCATTTGGACACCATGGAATTATTGGTTGATGGTGGAATTGGACATACACCTCTCTTCCTCTTTCAAAACCCCTAAAACCTGTTTTCGGTGGGGTTTGGGTGCATGCCAGTTGTGGGAAGTAGCACCCCGGCCACTATAAGGACTAAAGCTCGGGCCTCTGTTGCAAAGCACTACCGTACTTCCACATGTCTAATGGG